TTGCATTTATCAATTTTAGTCGTGTCATGTACTAAATAGTTCTAAGTTGAATTTGAGCCAATATTCAAAATAAAATTAGGCTTTGTTTTGGGCAAGAGTGTGCGTGAACAAGAGTCCATCAGTCAAAATCACACCCTTCTTAATTCATAAGTCACAAAAAAGACTTTATCACTGTAACACATGCAGCATCTCTTTGCAAAAAATACAAGTTTGTCTCTCAAAAAAAAAAAAAAAAATTTGGCTGTAACGTTCAATGCATGATTCTTTTGAGTTTCTTCTGAAAATGCCATTATGACAAATATGAAAGATCAAGAAAAAATTACATTAACAACGAACAAACCAACGAAACAAACACACAAACTGATGATTTTTTACCACTATTGCCACCGTTTTGTCTTTTTTCGTTTGTGTCTGTAGAGTCAGTGGCAATGTGAAAGTATTGTATATAAACAAAGGAGTGCTCCAGAAACGTTATATTGTATTTGTTTTTCCTTTGTTTCGTTTGATGTGTTTGCATCTCATCAAAAGCTTTTTGTTACTCTGTTGACGAGTTTCCATCAATAAAAATACATTAAAATTAATTCAATACTGTTCATTACATTATATTGATTTCGTCTCTCTCCTGCTTATGGATTTGAAAAGCATCTAATATTGCAATAATCTATAGACTAAATATGATTAACATCATTTTAACAGATCATTAAAATCGAACGAATACTGAAGAATTAGTTTTCTATAGTTTTCATTTTTCTCTTGGTTTGATGAGAACATTTTAAAATTTTTTTCAGGTATTTTCGTAGTTTGCAAACATATTTACATTGTGAAATTGAAGAAAAGGATAATGTAGAATAAATTGCTAAGAAATGAAGAAGAGATATTTCCGAAACTTGAACTTGGAATAGATAAAGTTTAAAACTCTAGTACTATTTCTAGTTGGCAACTACATTGACGATGATGATGCTAACTCGCTTGTATCTCTTAAGAAATATGACAGAGATGCTTCATAGTTCAATCGGCATATGCTTTCACTTGGGTATGTCACTAGAGTCAGATCTCAAATCATAGCTCATGGGCGATAAGTATCTATTACTTGGTTCACGTAAACTAAAAAAGTATAGTCGATGATCATTCAGGCATCAAGAAAACCGAAGTGAGGAATAATATAGTATTCATTATTTTGATAAACATTCGCAGACAATAAGATACCAACATGGGGTGTTACCACACAAATAGAGCATTGATATGCGAAATTTAAGATCGCTTCGAAGCAAAAGACTCTAAAAACTGGAAGACATTATGGAATATCATTTGGTATTGGTACAACATCGTCTACTAATATAAGTGAATACTATCTAAAACATCATTTTGAAATGAGAGATGATCGCTCTCTTCTACGAAAAAGATCCTCATATACTATTGAAGCTTGTAAAGCTCTGAAAATAATCCTAGACAAAAATGCTGTTGAGAAGATCAAGTGCGTCGTAAAATCAATGCACAAGAAATATAACCATTGACAATTTCCAAGAATCATAGTTTGACGATATTAAGTAGATACCATTGTGCAACGTAAGATTCTTCATAAAAAACACTTGTAATCTATTTATGCCTGCTAGACAGAAAATTAATATTTAATACAAAAGAAAGTCAAATACATATCAAAGCTTGCTTATTAACAAAGAACTATAGCAATAGCTTGAATCTATTATAAACAAAGAGTAACAACACTTGGTACAAGAATGACGACAACTAGGAAAGTATTTAGTTTATTTATGTAAGATTTATATAGAGAATAGTTTGAGCTTCAGTTTCACTGATTAAAATATCGGACTGTATCAAATGAAATCTTAGAGATTCGGTTGTCAGTAACAAAGAACCTCAACGACAAATTACATACCCGATATTCACTGCCTTCTATTTTTTTCTACAACATCAAATGTGAGTTTCAATTGAAGAGCAGAAATCTAAACAGCAAGCGAGAGAGAAAAAACTCAACACCGTCGTTTATTTCATTGTTATTCTTTCCAACTTTCGTTTGCGTTTCATCGGTACAATGATTGAAGTGTCATTATGCTGAATACGTTTGTCATATAGACTTCTCATTTTGCCTCTTTCTGGAAAGAATGAGAAAAACATTCTCAATTCCATTGTTTTTCTTCTGCTTTTGTTGGGCATGCTGATAATATGAATGAAGAAAAATCGAAAGATATTTTACTTGCCAAATATATTACTACTATAATTAACATAGATTTAAGTGAAAAATAACTGTCCATATCATGCTCTAGCTTCAGAAGTATGCATCTCGCGTCATAATTGATGAATCTATTTTTTATTCACTTAATTTTTCTCTTATCTTGCTTTTAAATGTTAGTAAGGTTTGCACTACGGTTATATTTTCATTGTTGCTCTAGCTAAAAATAGTTTATTGTTGAATTATCAAGTGTAAGTTTTACTCTGATAAATTTTTTTCAGATTGATTCTGACTTTGATCAGCTGATTGACAAACATTTTAGTTGCTTGATTTACAATTACCACTAAAAATCCTTAATCCCAGTAACATATAAGCATCTCTCGGAAAATGCAGCCTACAGTGAATAGTAAGAATGAATGCTCGTAATTCATGAGATCTTGTTTTTTTTCTCGACATATCGATACTTGTGCTTCACATTATATGTTTTATTCGAGGAAAACTCGAATTACGCATTTCAAGAACGGTACATCATCTTATGCTCATTGAAACGACATTCTAGAGGTTAAGATCTATGTATGGGTCCGTCCTTTTTTCTGTGTGATATATCGTTTGCCCAAAGTAAAATCCGGATATGATTAATATTTTATGGATTTTGTATAATAAATCAAATAGATAATTAAATCATCATTTAGTAAAGCTCTTTAAAAACCTATCGATAGACGTTGATAGAGTCCTCCTAATAGTAAATCGTATTACGGATACCTTTCGTTTATCCTGGCTTCAATTAGCTGAATGCTCCAAAGCGTAAAAACATTTCAGAGAAAGGCAATTCATCATAAATAATAGAAAAAAAGATATTTTTTTTTCCAAGCTCGAGATCCATGCTTCGCACCGCGTTTCGTACAGATATTTTTGATGGATAAAAAACAAAAAAAAGGATACTCTTTTCATCTAACGCAGAATTTCTCTATTCAACCTACCGGCAACTGTGAACATGTAATCACAGTCCACCGCTAAAACGAACCTGGTATGTGTAGCACACGTTATTATTGTACCGCCCTGGATGTATTAATTAATAAGTTCTTCATTATTTTCTGATGTCTACAAGGATTCTGCATCTTTCTGTGGCACTCTGATTATACTTGTGTATGATAGACTATGACGACGACATTTGTTCTTGACTGTCCTTATTTCTTGAGTTTGACGGTAAATACTAAGTCAACAAATGTCTGTTAGATTTATTCGATTCTTTCGGGTCATCCTACCATAAGCATTGACAGATATTAATAGAAACTGAATTACTATAGTAGCTACTTTTTTTTGTAACTTGATTTGTGTTCTTCAGATTTTAGTATTTCAAATGATAGAAATTTTATTTCAATTTGTTGAAAATAAATTTTCGAAAAATTGTTCTAGAAATCTTTCTATTAAATGTTAAAACGATCATATATATGATTTCCATTTTTTCTGTCTTATTTGCATGCCATAACTGAAGTATAAATAAACAAACAAACAAAAAAACAATAGACTGACTGACAAACAGATTTTTTTGTGTTTTTTATTAACACATAATGACAAATAAAAAGAAAGATAACTATATGTTTATTTAAGATGTCTATGAAGAAAAAATAATAATAATAATGCTGAATAATAAAAACTATATGTTTATATTATTTAACTTCGTGGTAAACCATGTTTTTTAACCAAAGCTAAAGCTTTACGATCGAATTCAGCTTTATTTGATGTATATTCACTGGCAATTTCTATAATAAAGTAAACATATATATATATACATATGTAAGAAAACAAAAGAAATCATACCAGCATTAAGTGCATGATCAATTTTAGGATTATCAATAAGTTCAACAACAGCTTTAACAACATCCACTAATGGTGTTGTTGGTTTCCATGTTTCATTTGAATTAAGTAAATCAACACATATTTTACCTTGTTCATCAACATTAGGATGATAAATATTTGTTATAAAACGAACTTCAGGTGGTTTAAATGGAAATTCAGCTGGTAATTTTATTTCAATTTGATAAGCAGCTTGATTATAAATATTTGATGTTGGTAAAATTCGACCAAGAATAATATTATGTGTTGAATTACTTGCACCTCCTCGAGATCCTCCAGTTGTATCATCTACAGGTGATTTATCAAGAAGAAATTTAACGGATGATGAATCATTATTTGTTGATAATGCTTTAAGTTTTGTTATTTCAGTTAATAAACGTTTATTTGCACCACTTGATGCTGACATTTTTTTTTCAGAACTGATAATCTAAAACATATGAACAATTTCTTCATCATTTTCTAAATCACTATATTAATAATCGAAACAACAAATTCAAATAAAGAATTTCTTTTTTTTTTGAATAATTGTGTAATTATTCAAAAAGACTTTAAAAAAAAATTAATAATATAAAACTAAGATTGATTAATTAAATCCAAGTATGATTTTGTTTTTTTCCTATATAACATATTCAAAGTAATTACTAGATAAATTAGAAATAAAAACTGATATACATACGAATAAATAAAACAACTACATATCAATAAAGAGGAAACTTTTGTCGAGTTATTTTTTTTCTTCTGTCTCTGACTAATAATGATGATTATTTTCAAAAAAAAACAAAACCCAATAAAGAATAAATGTTATCAACCAATCATAAACATCAAAAAAAAAACCTATATGTACTAAAATATAGGTCGCCACATTCATATTATTTTATTTATTTAATGTGGCGCATCAGTCGTATTATAAAACATAAAATATTCAATTGAAAGTTTTTTTTCTTTAAGATTAATAATGACTGATCAAGAAAATATTCGATTACAAACATTAATTAAATATAAAGAACTTAATGAACAATTACGTGAATTTCTTAAATATATTCTTTTATTTGAAAAATCATCATCATTAAATGAACAAATTAATATAAATATAAATGATAATGGTGGTATATCATTATTATCAATAAAAAATGATTTACTTCTACAATATTTAATTAATCTTATTGCTGTTATGTATCGTCGTTCAATACCAAATCAATCATTAAATTCATTATCAACACGTACAATTATATTACGTCTTTGTGAAATTCGTACATTTATTGAAAAAATTCATCCTATTGAACAAAAATTACAATATCAAATGGATAAATTACTTAAGAATAATATTGATCAACAACTTAATTATCATCCTAATATTAATAATTTCGATGAAGAAATAAATATTGAAAATAAACATAAAGAAGAAGAAGAAAAACAAAAATTAAAAATTTATCGACCACCAAAACTTATACCAATGGAATATAATGATGATAAAAATGAAAAAGAAACAATTAATAATAAACGTCTTGAATATCTTAAACGACGTGCTTATCATTCAGATATTTTAGATGATTATAAAAATAAATATTCTGATGCACCAGAAGAAATTTATAATAGTGAACGTAGTCGTTTATTACAACAAAATCGTTTATATAAAGAAAAAATTACTTATGAAGAAGAATATTTAAAACGTTTACCACAAACAAAACGTGAACGTTTACAATTACAAAAATCAATAATAAATAATGATAATGATATTATAAATCATATACATGATGCTAATATATTATTTGATGATAATTTAAATAATTTAACAAAAAAGAAAAAAAATAAACTATCAAGACGAACAAAAAAACGTATGGAAAAGAAAAAAACAAAATCAATTAAACGACTTAAATCAAGAAAATAAATTTGTTTCTTTTTGTTTTCTTTATTGTTAAATGAAATGAATTTGATCATTTCATTCTTTGTTTTTATTTACAAAAATAAAAACCATAGAAAAAAAGAAATTTTATTATTGTTTTATCGAATTCATCTACTGTCGAAAAACATTGAAATAAAGATTAATGAGTAGATTTTCATAACAACATACTAAAATCTTCTAACATTTTTTTTAACTAGTTTGAATATTCTAATTTTTAGTGTTTATTAAAGAACATAAAGTTAAAATATGACAAACATAGAAAAGTATGAACTAATTAAAATCTAGGATAATGTATTCGAAAGCATACTGAATCACAGACCTCGCAGTGATCCTAATTTTTGATGCTTTTCGATACTAAGTAATTTTGATCTAGTCTCATTTGAGGCGTTTTAGAAATTTTGCCTTGAACTGATGCAGATACTTTTTTTTTCAATGATCCCGTTGTTCATCTTGTTTGAAGAATAGATAAAGTTCTTTATGAACTAAAAAATGTCATCGAATATATGGAAAAATTCATCTTTTTTATTAAATGATTCCTACAAAATTTCGTGTCATGATTTAGTAAGAAAGAATAAACAAACACAAATTAGTTAGGTCTGAAAGTTGAGAGTCTGATGAATCATCAAATCTCATTGTTGGACGGCTATAAACGAATTTCACAAGGGAACTTCTCAACTCTCTAAAAAAAAAAATTGGATCTTGCCGAAACCGAAAAAAAGGTTTTTCATCTAGATACAAACTCGAAACCCTTTTTGGGAGTTTCGTTCGTCTCTACAAAACCTTTTTTGGGGTTTCGTAAAGATCCAATTTTTTTTAGAGAGAAGATGTCCCCTTACTTGATCTGATACTTTCACTATATGTTGGAAGCCTTTGAGCTAGAATAGCCCTAAGTTGGCTCGCCTGCCTGGACATTTGGAATTGATTCATGACCGTTTTACTGGATTTTGGACTTATGACACGAGGTTCTCTGCAACAGCAAATAAACCTGATTTCGATCTGAAATTTTGTCTATAAATAAATCTAATGGTCACAAGGATACCCTAAAAGTTTCAGACAAAACGAATGCATCCTTCAGAAGATACTTAATTTTCAAAAGCCGTCCAGTTCTCAGAAAACAGTTCGCGAAAACCGGAATATTTTGGATACTCAATATCTTAAGGAAGATTCATTTGTTTTGTCAGAATTTTTTAGGGTATCCTAGTGATCCTTAGATTTATATATAGACAAAATTTCAGGTCGAAACTGCATATTTGTTGTTGCAGATAACCTTCTGACGTCATAAGTCGAGAATCCAGTAAAGCGGTTATAACTCAGCCCGAAAGGCTCAGGCAAGTGAGTCTACTTAGGGTTATTCTAGTCTAGTCCAGCCGACATTGTTGGAATATCTTGACGATGTATGCTTGAAATTGATGATTTCTGGTGGCACTAGACCTTCTAGGATGAAATGTATTGATTCTACGATTTTCTAACGACGACTTGGAAATCGTCATAATGTTTCAGCGTTTTTGTTTTGTCATTTCGCGCTTTGATTTAATTGTTCTAATGAGAGTTAAGCTAGCTGTTACGTGATTGTTATGTTTTCGAAACACAGAGGCAATGGGAGAACTGTTTCCTCTTTAAATTGTATGGGGTATCGGTTTTCTGCGAGAGGTGGTACGATTTCCCATTTTAAAGGATATTACCAACTGCTGAAATAGAGCAAAGAATGAATTTCATTTGACATTTCATAATTCCTATTGTGAAATTATATACATTTTCGATGAATAGTACCTATGTTTTGAGCATCCTGATTTATTAGGTCAAATTTTGATTTTTTTTCTTGAAAATTCCTGATTTTGCATACTAGACCACTGCGACCCTTGGAAAGATTAAATCAATATGTATAGCAGACTAATATGATAGTTCAAACGACGACAAGAAGAATAAAAATAAATTTGTCGCTTCTCAAAGCATTGATTGTATGAAAGATGTATCTAACAATAGAAATAAGTTAATTTTTTTTTACTATAACAACATTAAATAAATCTAATAAACTGATTGTACGTATCATACATCTATAATAGTCAGACCTTGTGAATTTCACACTTTAACTCCTCCTGAAGCAGTACTGACAAAGTTTTCAAATAGAACTTGTATTTGATGCTAAATTATTCATACGAAGAGACCTATGAAGTGACGACTTTTTTTCAAGTCTGATTGACGATATTATATAATTTAAGGTCGCGGAAAGATGATAAAAATGGGTCTAATGACGAAGAAAGACCTGCATCTGTGTATGTTTCAGATATAGAAGAATATTTTCTAAAAATTTCATTGATATTGGACTAGTAAAAAAAAAAAATGGTAGTCAACTTTATTAAAGACGAGTAATGTTTAGCGTAAAAAAAAAACAATATTTTGCCACAAAACTGGTTGTTCATCAAACTGTATTTTTGCGATTGTTTGCAAACTCTTCGATAAAGAAATTATGATCTTAGTTGAATAGTAATTTTTTTTTTTATTAAAAATTTTGAAATTTCGATCATTATGTAAAACCAAATAAGCTTTGTGAAGAATGTTCTATCTTCTAATGGAAGGTTAGTTTAACTGAGATCTCGGTATTTTAGACTAACCTTCCAGTATTTGATTTTATTTTATATCTTTATATCAATAATAATTGTATTGCAATTTAGTATTTTGACTTAAAAAATGAAGTTCTATTAATTTCACTTTTTTTCAGAATTCATACTAGTTAAACTAATGATATCATCATCTTGAGATTTATTTATTATTTTTTGTGGTATACTATCTATTGTCTTTTTATCATCATCATCATCATCATTATCATCATCTTTATTTTCTAATGATATAGTTTTATGTTTAATAACATTTGATTCTTGTTGTTTTTTTGAAGAACGATAATCACATGCTGATATACATATCGTAAGAATAATTAAACAAATAAGAATAATAAATATAATAGCTGGATAACAATACCATGGACATACAAAAGATTTATTTGTTGATTTTTCTACTTTGAATTTTAAAGGAATATGATTATCAATATTTCGTATAGGTAATGAGAATATAGATTTCAATAGTATAAAAAGTAAAAATTCTTTCATAATCGAATTTTGTTTACTATTAACATGAGTAATATATACAATTATTGCGCTCTATTTTCTTTATTTTATTAATTTATTATTTTACATAAATTCTTTTTTTGTTTTCAACGTTTATTTTTATTTATGTTTATTCTTATTAGATGTTTAGTGTCTCATATCACGGTACTCTTAAGATGTTTTTCAATAGACTTATACATTAACAAATAATAAAAATATATTAATTAGTATATTCTTATTAATATTAGACATAAAAATTTAGAGAAAGAAAACAATATTGTCTGTTTAATTTCGTGGTAAAAAATGCTTTTTAAACGTTTCTGATGCAATACGTTCATACTCTTTTCTATTAGTGTTAAATAAACTAGCCGCTTCTAAAAAAACAAAAACAGATTAAAAGACATTCATAGAAACAAACTATTAAATAAATAGTACAGACCAGGATGTTTAATATTATCATTACTAGGTTCATCGATAATTTTGGTTACTTCCTCAATAATAGAAATAAAACTTGTTGTTGGTGTCCATGATGTGATATTACTCAAGAGTTCAAGACAGACTTCACCTAAAGAAAAATAAATAGATAATTTCAAGATAGAATACTATTTACCATTTCGATCAATATTAGGATGATATATTGGACTTCTTATTAATACTTTTGGTGCTTTAAATGGATATTCTGGTCCTATTATTAATTGAATTCGAATGGAGCCGTCTTTATAAATATCACAATTTGGTAATAGTCGACCAGTTATAATCCAATCACCTGATGGTGGTGTTTCATCTTCATTATCAAAGGGTGTTGATTCAAGAATAAATTTAGTTTTTGCGTTACTTGTTGGTCCAATATTTTTTAGCTGAGCTGCTAAAGAATAAGCTCGTTTTGTACGTAAACTAGGGTCACTTTTACTCATATTAAATATATAATGATAAGTGTTTTACCACACTTTTGTTTTATCTACTACAAATCCTTTTAAAAAAAAGCAAATAATATATATATAGAGGATGGCTTGTTTTTCTTTCGTCATGTAGGAAGTATAGAACAGAACAGAAAAGAAAAACAAATTGCGTACTTGCAAAAATATAAGTTGAAAGGTTGTTTTTTTCCCATGAAAGCAATAGTCTTAAAAAGGATCTTTTATTGCATAGAAAATTATACATGAGTTCAAGTTATATTTTCATATTAAAAAAGTAAAACAAAATTACATCTAGGGAATTGTTATAGAAATTAAAATTATTTTTCTTTACTATGATGATTTATACAGATTGTTTTTTTTCAAACGTTTCTATATTTAAAATAGTATATCAATGTTTAGAAGTATCAAAAAGCAATTCATTGTTCATGAACCCTTTGAGAACGACACTGCCTCTTTATCAAATAATTAATCATTACCTAGCTTTTTCATAGTAACCCATGACTCTTGATTATTTACTAAAGATGTCAGTATCATACGATATCGAAAGTTAATAGGTAATTAAAATAAAATCATGAGATTTTGATTTGTGAACATGAAAGATATTATATTTATGATGTTCAATTAACATTAAGATATTATTAGACAACAAAAACAAAAAAAGTTTAGTTGGTTGAAAAAAACAAATTTTTAGAATATTCAATTGCGTGATAAAGCATGTTTTCTAACAAATTCTAATGCTTTCCGATTAAATTCAGAATAATTTTCCGTATATTCACGACCAAGTTCTAAAATAAAATGAAAGTAAATAAAATAAAGTTTAAGAAAGAACTCACCAAAACTAAATGAATAATCAATATTAGGATGATCGATATTTTGTACAACAGCTTTGACAACTTCCACTAAAGGTGTTGTATTAGTCCATTTAGCTTCTTTTTTTAACAACTCATTGCAAAATTTCCCTAAAAAAAAACATTGATAAACATTAAGCTTAATTTTTTTTTCTTAAATATTTTTACCATCTTTACCAACATTTGGATGATAAATTGGAGTAAGAAAACGTACTTCTGGTGGGTCAAATGGAAAATTAGGTGGTAATTTCATTTCAATTTGAAATGCACCTTCTTTAAATATGTCTGAATCAGGGAAAATTCGTCCAATAATCAAGATTTCTTTTGGATCTGCAGAACAAGCTGTATTTTGTTCATCACCATCTTCATTAAATGGTGATTGATCAAGTATAAACTTAGGATTTGAAGTAGTTGCATTTAATAATTTTAGTAGAGTAATATTTTTGTATAGTTCCTTATTTAATTTTGATGTGGCCATTAGAATTTTAATCTCAAAGTTTCTATAAATGAGTAATAGAAAAGCTATTTTATAGATGCAATAAAAACGAAAAAAAAACAAAACTTCTATCGATTTTGTTGAGAAAAAAATTGTAAAACTCAAAGTGTGCTGTCCAAATAAATATTTTTGTTTTTTTTTATGCTCTCTAATCATAATGTGAAAAAGTAAGGGACAAGAAAAGGAAGACAGACGCCCAATATGCAATGATGTTTGTGTACAACATGTTTTCAGTTTTCGTTTCTTGCCATAGGTAGATGAAGAAAGAAACAACAATGACGACACACATAAAAATATAAAAAAAACAACCATGTTGATTTTTAGTTCCAACGAAAATTTTCATATATGTTTTTTAGAAAACAAATCGTTTGTTAGTATTATTTTATTATAGAAAAAATTACAAAAAAAAAAAAATTTATCTATACATACGACTTCTTATGTAGAATAATAGTAGTATATGAAAAACAGATACTTTTAATGTAACTCTTTCAATTCTCGGGAGAAAAAGAAGAATGAAAAACGTGTGTCAACTGTTGACGCACTTCTATCTTTTTGTTTGGAATATTCCAACTTAAAAAAAGTATTATTATTATTTATTTGTAGGAAGCAACACTCAAGAGTACACTTTCTTTTTTCTTTTTCAAATATTTTCTGCCAATAAATTCATCATAGAAGAAATTATTAGTTAGTAGATTTTAGAGAATATTGTATAATTTTATTTGTAATAATATCACTCTGCTAGAGGATATTTATCTTATGTACTTATGTGTAAAAGTACAATACGAAAAAAAAACTAATTACTTGAATAGAAACAGATAGGAGGGTATAGAAAACATGAACATATTTATCATTTTTCTAAATACTTTACATCCCATTATCGTTGAATATAATTTTCGAAAATAGATTTTCAAGTTTCTTTTGTTATTAAGGAAAAAATTCATGCTTAATATACACATAAATGAAATAAAACTTATATGAAAAAAAAATAATAATCCAATTAATCTAAACATAAATTTCTCATCATTTTATTTATTCATATATTAAATAAAAGCTTTCTTGTATTTTCCTTCAGAATCAATCTATAGATGATTATATTTTTCAATCACAAGGAATATAAGATTAATTTTGTTCATATCGAACGATAATTTATCAATCAAAATCCTTTTTTTTTAACGATTATCAATTTTTTTTGTCTCAGTCGATACTATTTATTTTGATGTATTAGGTTTAATAATCCATTTAAAGAGATGACAAACAAATAAATATTTTAATAATACCATAAAATGATGAATTATTTGAAGTAGACATTGTAAAATATGTATCATCATGTTAGTGACTAGAAAATAAAATAGAAGAAGTTCTATTTGATGTAAATATTGCATTAATACGTCTGCGTATTATTATGAATTATGATTCAATTTTTTCAAGATATCTTTTTTATGTAATATATTAATTTGAACAGATTCAAAGAAATCTGATTTCTGATTTACAGTTCAGTTTGGGCTCATTATTGATTGACTTCATTCTAACAGACGCAAAGATTTACTTAACTATATCTTTCAAAAATTTCTCAGGCGCTGGTAGACCGACCTATTCTGAACCATCGTTAGCTCTCTGTTGTTCCAAAATTAAGAATCCAATGCATAAATCAAAAGTAATCTGATATAAAATTCAATTGAATACATGTTTATAACATTATATTAGCAATATTAATGTATGAATGAAATTGCCTGTGAACTGTTGCATGGAGTTCTACTATTGAACGTTTATAGTATAATTTAAAATAAGACTTCTCTTCAGCTTTTGAACTTGTGTCAAGATGTTATCAGAAAAAATTTATTGAAAAAATCCATAGACTGACTAAAACATCATTAAAATGAAATCATGAAATCTTAGATTATCAGTGTTAAAAGCATCATGTTTGTTATAGTCAACTAAATTTTCTATTAAGAAGAAAACATATTATATGTAATATTTTAGGCAATATCAACCAATAAAGTTTAGTTTATTAGAAAAGCAAGATTGTAGAATATTCAGCTACGTGGCAAAGCATGCTTTTTAACATATTCCAATGCGTTACGATTAAAGTCAAGACGCTTTTCCGCATATTCACAACCGACATCTAAAAAAAAATAAAATAATATAAAAGTTGAAGAAAAAAAAACGAACTAGCGCGCATTGGATGTTCTAGATTAGGATGATCGATATATTGTACAACAGCTTTAACAACATCAATTAAAGTTACTTTATTTGAATATTTAGCTTCTTTTATTAATAATTCATGACAAAATTTCCCTGCAAAAAAAAACAAAATTAATAAATATTAGGTTTTCTTTTTTTCATACCATCTGTATCAACATTTGGATGATAAATTGGAGTAAGAAAACGTACTTCTGGTGGATTAAATGGAAAATCAGGAGTTAATTTCATTTCAATTTGAAATGCACCTTCTTTAAATATGTCTGAATCAGGGAAAATTCGTCCAATAATCAAGATTTCTTTTGGGTTTGCGGAAGCACCTGTATCTTGTTCATCACTATCTTCATTAAATGGTGATTGATCAAGTAAAAACTTAGGATCTGTATTAGTTGAATTTAATAGTTTTAGTCGAGTTATATTGGCGTAGAGTTCCTTATTTAATTTAGGTGTAGCCATTTCTTTTTTTCAACCTAAAAGATTCGAATAACTCAGTAATAATGTTTAAAATAAAAAGTAGAGTTTTTTTTTGTTATAAATGCAATACATGCGAAAAAAAATACTGTGTCGATTTTTTTCGAATAGAGAAACTACAAAATTCAAAAATATGCTCTCTAAACACATGTTTTTTTTCATGCCTTCTAGTCATTACCTGGAAATGTAAAAAAAAAAACAAGGGACAGACGATCGAGACGCAAGTGCGTCTCTCTCTCTATATATAACTTGTGTCTAGTTTCGTTCTTGCCATAGGGGTGGATGAAGAAAAAAACAACAACAATGATATACATAAAAATATAAAAAAGACAACCATGTTGATTTTTACCTGCAACGAAGATTTTGATATGTGTTTTTTGTATTTTATTATAATAAAAAAAAAACTTTATCTATACATACGACATCTTATGTAGAATGATAGTGTATTTGAATTGGTCTCATAAAAAAAAAAACTTCTGTTTTCTAATCTATGTTATCTATAATGTAACTCTTTCAATTCTGTCGAGAAAAAAGAAGGATGAAAGGTGCGTGTCACCTATTTATACATTTGTATCATTGCTGGAATATTCCAACTTAAAAAAGTATTATTATTTATTTGTAGAAAGTAAAACTCAAGAGTATACTTTTTTCCATCCTGTTCTACAAAAAATTCATCATAGAGGAGATTATTACCCTGGTAAAATTGCAAGAATATTGTGTAATTTTGTTTCCATATAATAATATATGTAATAATATCATTCTACTTTCAGAATTTTTATCTTATATACTCATGTGTAAAAGTGTAATATGAAGAAAATAAATTATTTGAGGGAGTCATGCTTTGAAAAATTTCAGAACAGTACGCTTTCTGCTTTGTAAATTTTTACTGAGTTTTTTTTAATCTAGAAAATAGACAGGAGAAAATTTTAAAATTTTTTATTCTTAAGATTACAAGAAAAGAAAAGCGTAATTTCATTCATGAAATTCGGAAAAATAGATCCATTACAAGTGAACAAGTTATTCATTTGAATAATTCAGCTTTTCAAAATACAAGATAACCATTATGATATTTATCAGACATACATGTTCATCGGATTAATCATATTCGGTCGTACATTACCATACACCAATAAATAACGATAGACTTGGTCATTCATGATATGGAACAATGTACAACGGTATTTTGTATTCTTTTGTTGAACTCGTTGCAGACAGAAATGCTTTTACGAAAAACCAAGCTGATTGAAAGTATACTAAAGATATTAATTCTCATAATCATTCAATATAATCTTCTAAAATAGATTTCATTGGTGATAACAATCATATCTGAAAGTTGAGCGTTTTTTAAAAGAAAAACTCTTGCTTTGTATAATTGTCTTAATAGTAACGAGTGTCTCAGAATGAAATACTCTCATTGATTCTTTGATTTTGAGGGACTTTCCAGTAGAGTGTGAATGCGATATGTGATTGAAATGAACAGCTCTGCACTTCACAGCCACATCCAACAAGAGAAACTCCTTTTTCAGGCAGACCATTGTTATTGTACTTTTTTACTTCCCAATGATCTAGCTGTTGTTTCCTATATAACTTAACAATCACACCATTTTGTTCAGAATTAAATTCTACATTCACTAGTATGAGGATAAATTTTTTTGATATAGCAAGTCTAACTTTTGAAAACATGAGTTTCTAAAATGCATGCTAAAATACTACCAGGTGTTAAGCTATTCATTTTTGCCTTCATAAAAAAACTCTATTTGAAAAGCAAAATGGATAGTTTTGTAGCGTAATGAATTCTCTATTGCATTAGCTTCTGAAAAACAATGAACAAAAATAGGCATTTTAATCTGAACCATCTGTTCCTAACAATAACATCAAAGTTCTCTGGAGTTGAAAATTATATTTAGAAGAAGAAGATCGTAGCACAAAATGATATTTTCTAAAATTGTTTTGATCTTCGAAGAATTTTCCATAATTGATCTCGAATCGATTCTTGTAGAATATAACTATTTAGGACTAATCACAAGGTCTTAGAACGAAAAACTAATATTAGAGATAATCAAAAAAAATATTCTTAATCTTGGGTGTGGATGTGTGTCAGTGTGAAGAAGAAAACATTGACGCCCACTCCCACATCATACCCTCGAGCTAGAACAAACATATTAGGCGGAAGAAAAAGAAATATGCGATGTAAAATCTTTCACTCTGCTGCACTTATTACTATTATAATTCTATGGTAAATGATATTCATCGATTGCTTAGTAATTTGATAACATGATAATAAATATTTCCTATAAAAATCGAATAGGAATAACATAGTTAGAAAAATTGTCTTCTGAAAAATGTAATATTGTCGATTAAATTACAAACTCAATGCTCTATATTTCAAGTAATAGAATCTATACATTGTTTTGTGTTTAGAAGAAAGAAAAGTATAGAGGCCAAATTGCAATTATAAAATATTTTGAATTGCTTATCTTAAAATGTTTTATTTATATTGTGGTCACTATTTTGAATAAAGGTGCTTCCTAATCCATCTATAACGCGGCTTCATATGTTTTTTATCGATGAAAATCGAATATTTTACGCTTAAAAACGTACTTTTGTATGAATTTTGTTTGACTGAGTCGTTGTCATATTGACATTATTTAAAAGAATTATCGGAGCGAAAGGGTGTGGATGAACGTAAGGCACACTCACACCCACAGCCTCATATTCACATCCAGACCCTCATCACACTTGGAATTCACTCGTCATCAAGGCTATTGTGATGAATAATAGTTTCTAGCGATTCTTTTCGACTAGTTTATTTGAATTATTAAATTCGAGTACATTCGGAAAGTTTTTTATTTTTCTAATGACAGAATCAACAATGAAATACTAAACAGTAAACACAATAAAGATGCATCGACATGAAACTGTGTTCAGTGAATACTTTAAGATGCATGATGAATTGAAGGTATTTGTCAGATCTTGCGAACAGTTGCAGATTATCATTGATATTTGATTGCTTGAAGAGTTATATCAAAAAAAGTAGATCTACTTCATTGAGTTTAGAACATCTTTACTATGAGAAAGGTGACAACAATCATAAATAGATAAATCGAATGACGTAATTTCGTTGATGAGTTTTCAATATTAATCGAACTTGCATTCCAAATACCTTCTCTAGGTATAACTTCACTATCTCCTGACCATGGTGGCATGGTAATTGCCACTGCGACAAGAGATTTTTGTCCAATAGTACGAAATTGAAATTGTGTACCAACTGGTATGGTAATACATATATCAGCGTCTACTATTACAATTTCTTCTCTTTCATTTTGCTTACGCCAAAATTCACCTTGACCAGATAGAAAATACCATATTTCATAAACAGTTCGATGTTCAACAGCATGTGATGTCATTCGAGGAGGAAGCTCAAATTGTGCCATACTACCACCAATTGTTGTTAATAAAGTACGAACTAATGAACCATCAGGTGCAACAGCATCAGGATTAATAGGCAAACGTTTTGTTTGAAATGAAGGAATAAAAGATGTTTGATTAGTAGATGTAGAGGTTTCTATTAGAGATGTTGATTGTGTTGTTAAAGCTATTCCAGATGAATCTAGAAAAGAATAGAAAAAGTTAATACTATTGAAAGAAGAAAAAAAAAACAAGAATTTACCAAGTTTATTCAATATCGTCGAAATATGATCATCAGTAATTCTTGTCTGAACTAAAAAGTAGATGAACAATAACGTTATGTATCATCAATTCTTACTTTATGGGTAAAACTTACCTGAAGTTTTTCGATATCGAGGGACTACACTAAAATTAGATATATTTAATTGATCATTATTGATACTTTGTATTGATATTTGATTAGTCAATTGTATGTTACAGAAGATGTTGGAAATAAGAACAATAATAATAATGTCGATTAACATTGTGTCATATATGATAATCTATAGTAAATAAATAGAGAAGAAAATTAATAGTAATCACATTTTGAACTATTATTAAATAAAAAAAAGAAAAGAAAAGAAAAGAAAGATTTTCTTTTGTGATTTAATGTAACTGTGTGATGAGATATTTAATAAAAAAAAGAAACGAGTGTTCTAGTAATATATCTAGATTTGATGGTGAATAAATAATCTCAATATCGATAATAATAAGGTTTGAATGGACCATCGGAATCTGTATCGGTATACACTGATTGTGCTTCTGTTATTTTTTCCAATTTAACACCTAAATATTCCAAATGTGCCATGGCCACCTGTTCATCCAACTAAAATTTAAAAATAATTTAATCAGATATGAAACTCAATTTAGTGAAAAAATATTTACCGTTTTTGGAAGAGTATGAATTCCAATTGAATATTCTCCTCGTTTTGTAAATAATTCAATTTGTGCTAAGATTTGATTTGAAAATGAATTGCTCATAACTAGACTAGGATTGCCATGAGCACAAGCTAAAAGCATTCAAATATGACAATATACTATTATTATTTTCCTAAATAATACTTACATAGATTGATAACACGACCATCAGCAGGTAAAATAATTGCACGACCATTCGAAAGATGATAAATATCAACCTATAACAATACAAGTAAGTAGATGGATAAAAATTTCATGTCCCTAAATGAAACATACTTGTGGTTTAACATTTTCAATTTTAACTGCATTTTCTTTTAACCATACAACATCAATTTCCGTTTGACCCGAACCAATATTACATAAAATAGCCATATCACGCATTTCTAAAATATGTTCACCACGAATCAATCCAGTTGAACCTGTGGCTGTGACAAATATTTGACCAAGTTTACGTGCTTCAGCCATCGTTGTCACTTGATAGCCTATAAGAACGATACATCATCACTAGTTACACTCAACCGATAAATATGCATATTCCTTACCGTCCATTGCAGCTTGTAAAGCACAAATTGGATCGATTTCAGTAACAATTATTCGTGCGCCAAGACCACTCAATGATTTTGCACATCCTTTTCCCACATTACCATATCCAATAAGCACGACTACTTTTCCTCCAATCATTACATCCGTTGCTCGTTTAATACCATCAATAAGACTTTCACCACATCCATAGTAATTATCAAATTTTGATTTTGTTACACTATCATTAACATTAATAACTGGAACTTTTAATTTTCTATCTCTTAATAATATTCGTAATTTTGTTATACCAGCCGTTGTTTCTTCACTACAACCATGTATAACACTCGTTAAATGTGAATATTTTTCATGAATAACTTTTGTTAAATTACAACCATCATCTAATATAGCATTCAATGGTTGTCCATCAGGAAAAAATATTGTCTAATGAAATGTGATAAATAAGTAGGAAAATACAATCTATCTAATTTACCTGATCTATACACCATAATTTTTCGTCCATGGTTTCACCTTTCCATGCATAAATGGATATACCAGCTTTAACTAATGCTGCTGCCACATGATCTTGTGTTGATAATGGATTACAACAACTCCATTGAATCTATAAGATAATAATTATATATTAAGAATCTGAAGAGATTTTAAGATGAATAGAAGACTTACTTCTGCACCCAATTCACGAAGTGTTTCGATCATAACGCCGGTTTGTGCTGTGACATGCAAACATCCAGCAAGTCGAACACCTTTCAAAATTTTCTTTGGACCAAAGACTTTTCTCAGTTGCATAACTCCCGGCATTTCAGCTTCAGCCATTGACAAAGCTTTTCGACCCAATTCTGCTAGATTGATGTCAGCAATTTTATGGGATAGTTTTGTCGGATCCATATTGAAAAAAACGAGTTTTTGTGGCTGTTGTTGTTTATCATCAGCATAATGTTCTGGTTCATATTCTCCTGCAACTAAAATATGAAGAGAAAATTATTTTAATACGTTAGAAGAAAATTTTTAAATAAATGATCGTCAATACCATCGATAGATAGACAATATCTTATTGTAAAAAAAAAAGTATATTTATCATTAAACTTACAATAGTTTTGACTTTCTTGTCGACGAAAACGTTTTATTCCATTAGGAGTTGATGGTGATGGTGGATATTCGAATCTACCATGGTGTTGTAAAAATTCCGAATTTATACTGTTTTGCCGTCTGAGATCTATTTTGTCCGGCATATTGCTAGAAAGCAACAAGAAAATTTTGATAATCTCTGTAACAGACAAATGAACAAACCTTGATAATAAGATTGAATAATGATATTTATAAGTAACTGAATGAAAAAAAATGAGTGAAATAAGCCTTTTCTTATTGCTTTGTAGTGTGTTTTGATTGTTTCTTTGACTGTAGAAATTCTGAATTTCGATCGAAGTTTTTATAGGAATATTGGTACTTATGCTGGAAAGATTCTTGGAATACTATTGACGTCATCGAAAACGGAAGACATGTTATGCACTTAGCATGTATTATGTCAAGATCATATCAGTAACTATAAAACTTTATTCGACAATTTCGTGTATTTTGATATCTGTACTTCCTAGGTATCGTGACTCTAATAACGAGTGTCTTTTTAATGATTGTATGAAAAACAAAATAATATATCATCGTCTACTTTATCATCAAATCCTGGCATATTAAGTACTATAATAAATATTCGAAAGAAGCGAATAAAAAGTAAAACTAGCAATAAATACAAGGTAAATAGATCAAATAAAATGAGTGCCTTGTTTTCTTTGGATAAAACCAAGAAATACTGTTTAGATAATATGTCTTTCTCAGAAACTCAAAGTCTAACTGAAGATATTTTGATGAGTTTCTGCGTCAAGTATTTAATACAATGCATTTCATTCTTATTTATTAATTTTTTAGTTATAAATCAATATGACTGTTAGTACGACTACAAAAGCGGCCACAGAAAAAAGTGTTGATCATTCGATTCGTAAATGGTTTGGTGTCATATGGCTTTTGATTGAAGTGAATCTAATTGGTGGTACAATATTTGGATTTCCAGCATTATTTCAAATTTTACCTCAATATGGAATTTATGGCAGTGAAAATGATTGTTCATCATCATTAATAAATACAACAGAATCAGATGATGGAGAATTATCTTGTCAAGGATATCAAACACGTCACTATCAGGTATGAATAAACAGCAAATCAATGAACTTTTGATTCATATATATGTATTTGTATTTGATTTTAGAATGCGTTGACATTAGGTATTATACTATTTGAAATTCCATCAGTTATTATTGGTCCAATGATTGATAGGTTTGGATGTCGATTTGTTAAATTAATTGGAATGTAAGTACTTTGCATCTCTTCCTTTTCTGTCCTGTCAAATCCTAAAAATATTCTATTTTTTTCAGAATTTTTCATATTATTGGATGGTTAGCATTAGCATTGATTACATCTGGTAAATCGATATCTGTTTATGTGAGCACTCTATTTCATAATTATTGCTTTGTTTTTTTTTAGGACGAGATTCACTTTTATATGTACATACATCATTTTCATCCTTAGCTAGTATTAGCGTATTATTAACAGCTTATACATCAAGTGGTTATTTTTCAAAATCACGAGCATTTGTATCGGCACTATTTGCTGGTGCGTGTACATCAGCAACAATGTGGTATTCGATATTTCAAGTATGTTGTAAAATTTGAAATATTATATCAGTTCTTTTGTTTTCTAGATTTTAATTGATGCTCAAAAGATTACATTACAACAATTATCTTATATATGGATGTCATTTGGTGTATTAATGTTGGTCAGTTCATTTGTATTTCTTGATTGGAGTTTTCCTCTTTTGAATTTACCCTATCAATTTAATACCACATTGGAAAAGAAAAATATTTCTCAAGATATTCTCACAGGTAAGTCAGTTTAAGAAATATCATGTCTTATATTCCGATCTATTTGAAGATCAACTATCAAATCATAATGAAATAAATCAAATGAATTGGTATGAACGAATTTTGAAGCGAAAAGGTGTTTGGCATCATTTAATAAGTCCATTGTATTTGTTAGTGGTGTTATTTTTAAGTCTTCTATTATTACCGGGAATTTTCCTTTCTGTAGTATGGTATCCTTGGGTATATTATATCACAAAACAAGATACAATACTAAGTGAGTTATCAATTTTTGTACTGTAGAATCATAGGATATATATTTCATTTTAGCGAACAAATACACATTTGCATTTAATTTGTCTACTGTTTCTGCTATTATTATTTGTCCATTGAATGGTTTTCTACTTGGATTTAAATCTGATAAAAGTGAGTTGTCGTTGATTTTTTGTCATTAATTATCTTCATGTTCAGGTAAAAAACAAAAATTATTTAATATATCATTAATGCAAACGATATCATGGCTTCTCAATATAATAGCATGTATTATATGTATGTTTGTTCGAAAGAGTATGATTATTCCAGCATTAGTCATCAATTGTATTGCACGAGCTACAATTTCAGGTGGAAGTCAAGCGGTAGTAGCAACTTTGTAAGTAGTAGTAGTAGTATCTACAAAATTGCCATTATAAAAGATAATCTTTAAAAATAAACTACAATTCTCAAGTAGTTTGAGAATAAAAAATCAAATAGGAAAATATGTCTTTCATGTTACTTCCAGAAATCTTTCCTTCATCTGTATTAATATCACTAACTATATGAATTATTTCTTTGTCTCTATTTTAGTTTTCCAACTGAATATATTGGCACATTAACTGGTGTAATGTGGACTTCGGTGGGTGTTATTGCAACTGTGCAGTACGGCTTAGTGCAATTGACGAATGATATAACTGGTTCGTGGAGAGTGAGTCTTTATTATGTTTGTCTTCCCAAGTGAGCAAGAGACGGGCTAACAGACTCGTCTTTTTTCTAGTCATGTCGACCCGTCATGCCCGGTCTTTGTCTCAAATTCGACTATGACATGACTAGTCCGGAATTTTTGGCCGTCATGAAGTCCCGTCTAAATTACCTGATTGACGGGCGACATTATACGTGTCTAGTCTAGTCTTTTTTTTGAGAAGACCTAGTCTAGGACTTGTCTGAAGTCGGTTTATACGAAACATGATTATCTATTGTGCAGAGTAGTCCTGGACGAGGACTTTTTGAGACAAAGACTAGTCAGGACGGACGACAGCGACGCCCGTCCAAAATGAGTTTAAAACTGAAAAAGTAAGGACGTCAGGGACGGTACATAGGACAAGTTGCAGTCTTGTGTGTAATGGACGAGTCCAGACTAGTCTAAATGGAAATATGTAAGGATGAAGATTAGGTTCGAACATGCATACAATGTATTACTTACCCATCGTTTAGACCATTGAGCCATATGATCAAGAAATTAGCTTCTACATGGTCATAATCATTCTAAGATGCTATTTAATACAACTTAAAGTTTTTTATGTTCACATTTAAATAAAAGTTATTTTTTTACTGAATACGACATTATTTGGACAACATTAAAAAAATAAATTCAAAAAAATTTGTCTATTTTTTGGAAAAATATCTTTTGATTATCATTATCTAGGGACAATTAGTTGTATTTAAACAAAAAAATAAATTTTAAATGTAAAAATAAAAAAGCTATTTATATTCAAAAGAAACTATCTTTTCCATATGATGGTTTTGTTTTAAATTAAAATGATCCTACCTCAACTAGCAATTAAGTTAACTTTGCTTAATTTAAATATATTCTTAAATTTAAAATTATTAGAATATTCATATTTAAAATAAAATAACATAAAATTATGTTATAAACAAATTAAAATTATTCTTCAGTTTTTTTTAAATATAGTACATCTAATAATTTTTAAAAATATAAATTAGCATTCCTCGCTACGAGTAAATATTATTCATTTACGTACTCCTACTTTTTTTGTTGGTTTCGATATACACTTACATTTTCAACATATAAAAATACAAAATGTAATAAGATATATGAAGCCAGGAATGTACAAAGTATACTATCTATCTCTGACTTCATTGTTAATTATAGACGACTCTCTGATTGTTGTTCTACCTTGAAAAGTATTCATAGTATCTTGACAATCGATATAGTTGTAATATGAGAAATGTATGTTATTAATTACCGTAATCATAATATAAAGGATCAATCTTGATTCTCAATTTAGAAAGATTTGAGTACAAGACAGACAATAAAACGATTGTTATTCTACTACCTAGTTCATGGTCTCGATGCATCGAATGTTTTCCATTGATTATTTTTAACAAATGATATAGATATTGAAAAGTTTTCTACTTGCATTCTACCTCTTGTACTGTCCATTATTGATCAGTTTAAATGAATTGACAAGATATATTTAGTTCAACAAAAGTGAATTGTTTAGAGTTTTCAGACTAGTCTGATTAGAACAGGTGACATACTCTTTGAAAATGGACTAGTCATGACGAGTGCAGACACCGCTTCGGACTAGTCTTGCCTCTACGAAAGACGTTTCAGACTAGTCAAAGTCGTGTGACATCGACTGGTTTCTGATTGTCTAGTGGATGGATGGGAGTCAATTTTGTATCTTAGACTATATAAATTGACGCCAGTCTATCTCAACGTCCTAGTCTGCCGTCAGGATGCCCGTCCTGTTTTGAATACTGTCGGGTTGAGTGTTCGAATCTATCTTTCATCTTCTTTTTTTAGTCTTCGGACTAGTCTGGACGGGTTCAAAGGACAAAATGGACTAGACATGACTGGGTTCAAGGACTTTCTGGACTAGTCCAGACGTATTTGAAGGACATTTCTCCAATAGGTGACTAGTCATGACGGATGTGCAAGACGTTTCAGACTAGACTTGACGGGCGTTGCGGACATTTTGGACTAGTTATAGACGCCGTCTTTCGTCATTTTTTGCTCACTTGGGTTATCAGTGTTTAAAAAAAAATCATTTCTTTTATTTCAGGCATGGCTGATTATATTATCATTTGTACTATTAATGTCATGTCATTTGATTCAACTATGGTGGAAATATATTAGGGAATTGAGAAAAAAATCGACGACAATTGTTAAAGAAAATGTTATAACAAAATTTTGAAAAGATAATAATTTCTATTCAAACGTTTTTTGTGTTTAATCTGAATTAATAATTCATTCTTTTCATATGATTCTATGCTAATTTTTATTTTTTTTTTGTCATTAGAACGGGACGATTTTAATTCTTTTAATATATAAACAATCTAAAAAGAAAACATTTTTCAAAAAAATTAATTTTAAGAAACGAAATATTTATTTAATGAATATCAATACATTTTAATCGACTAGAAAATGAAAAAAACAAAAACTTTATTACTAAAGTCATCATCTTCTGTATAGTATTTTGTAATAAATTTAATAGCTGTTAGTATTTCATAATCATTCAATTTACCTACCCCTTCTTCTACAGAACAGAAGCTTGTCCTATCCAAAATGAACTCTAATTTGTCTGATGCTGTACATATTTCCTATTGACAGACAAATAAACTTTTTTCAAGCCTTGAAAATAGTATCCGTATACGTACTAATAAAACATAGCTATCTAAGAATTATTGAATAGGAGTTAGATCTGAAATAATGCCATTCTATTAGGTTTCTTCCTTTTATGGAACTATGCACAGTTCAAAAAAGAAAATGATGAAAATTTTGATTAACTTAGTAGCAATATAAGAAAATCTACACGGCATATGTCTAACAGAAATTTCTTTTAAAATTTTTTAAAGCTTGACATGCTGCTAAATCAACATATTATGTTAACCGCTGGTTTTCGTACCCATTTCAAGATACACCAAATACTGAGGATAGATGAATACGTGAATGTGAAACTGTTGTAAAGAGTGCATTTGCTGATGTGATAGTATGAACCCGATAAAGAACTGATAGATATTCATTGCTTCCTAGAAAATTATGGTAGTTAATCCAACAGTTTCCAGACAAGTTGAAAATTTCGATATGTACTTGTAAGTTAATAAAATCGTAGTTATAATATGAAAGACGTTGATCGTAATAAACGATCATGTTCGAGCCTGCGATTTTCAAAAACAGAACATAATTTGAATAAGATTAATTCTTTAACGACTTACAAAACTACGTAAAACTGATTATATTTGATTCCAAACATTGTCTACTAGAGTACAAATTTGAATAGTATCACGATTATTCTTTTTAACAGGAATAAATTTCGAATTATTCAATTGAAAAAAATCGACTTTCTCTATACAATTCTTTAGAGAATTTGACTAAATAAAAAATTGAATTAACAATATTTTCTGATCTCGCTCGATCGATAGTTCAACAATTTCTAGATGATCAAACTCGAAATGTTCAACAATGTTTGAGAAAAAAAACAATTGCTATTGTTATAATGCTAGTCTTTTTCAATGTAACTCTCCTATAAATAATATAGCATGCATGCTTTCTTTCGCTTTTTCGCCATGAACGACGAATATTCTCGTCACTATGTAAGCAAAGCATCACTTAAACATCAATCAGTCAGATCTACAGTGAAATTAGCTTATGTATAATGTCGTATTTGTTTTAGGACGAAAGCAAAGCAACAAGGACAAGCAATTATTGTTAAGGTTAGTTAATCAAACTATTTTGTTTCTTCCGATAGTCTTTACATCGAAGGTGAGTTTCGACGATACCATAGCAAATCATGCTCACTGTCAGATAGACAAGAAGAAGAATGAGCGTGAGATGAATTGTTATGTAGCTAGCATACTATAAAAAATACAAGATACATTTAGTAGAAGAATGGAGAGATAAAGACTCTTACGCTGAGTGAAATAAGAGAGCCGACAGATTTCCAAAGGCGATATTTAGCCACAACACTTGGGTCACTTTCAGAATAGAGAACCGTGTAAGTGGCTAAAATACATATATCATCAATAAATCAAAATGAGACGAAATATACCTATGACTTGCGACTGCCAGACAGCATCTGCTGCACCCCAACAACTAGCGATAACAAAAAGAATGATCATATGATTATCATCTGGGTGCCAGAGAAACATTAGAAGAATCATTGCATAATTGAGTGCGGCTGCCATTGCGAAACATCCCATTCGACCTACACACTTGACAAGATGGCCAAAGAGATAACTGCTTACCACATGAAATATCCCATGGCACATCATAATTAGACCCACATAGCTAATTAAGCATAAAGTTCAAATGAAAGATTATTAGATCAAGTTATACCGAATACCGACAAGACAATTGACGAATCCCTGTAATCAACATCAACACAATTAGCATAGAATGGAAATGCATTTATTGCTGTGTGTTCCTACTCGAGTAAATTGTGCTGTAAAAAAGGAGCTCTCGATGAGAGTCCACATTGTGAGTGGAATCAGGAAAAATTGATCCATGCTTTTCCACCGAGTGAAGGATTGAAGCACTTCAATACACTTTTTCAATGATTGTTGAATGGGCTCTACTTTAATGAAGTTATCTTTCTCAACGATAAAAAAAAGTCACTAACGTCTTTGGCTGAGTCGAACTTGATCGAGTATAAACACAAGAAGTACCATGGAGAGTATGCTCAAACCAGAGAATATTCCACATAGAATATAACGCTTTAATAAACGATATGGAAATAATTTACCGATAAAAACAAATTATCTTACCGTTTTCTCACTAACATTGTTCGTAGTGTTCATAGTTATGGCTGATTGTGGATCGAAATAGACACCACAATTGAGTTTTTGTGGATTGTTCGATTGATTTAGCACAAAGTATGAAATCAAATTACCCCAAATGGTACTTGTACCAACACAAGCAAAGAATATACCAAAAAATAGGCTAACAGCCACGTCCGTCTTTTGATACTTCGCTTGCGCGTAATAACGAGCAATTTGATTAAGATAGGTTGCTTGAGCTGTCCATAATGGGGCAGCAGCAAGACCCACAAAAGCTGCACCTAAATAAACGAGATAGTCTTCATAAATTTATTATTGATCAGTAGCGTAACTAGATGAGGACTAGGGGAACTCAGCCTTATCTCTACCTCGTGCAAGACTTTGAGCCTTCTTTCGGACGATTGAGTCCTGTTTCGAAAATGGGTCTTCATTTCTTTACAGAAATGATCAGACGAGCAGATCTCTTGCTTCTACAAAATTTGTTTTAAAAAAGACTTACTAATGTACATAAGTGAAGGTAAAGGACGAATATTGGCCGCAATAAATAAAATATAGCCAACTTCAGCGAAAATAATACTCCATTTCAGTCCAAAAATGTCTATGGAGATACTTGTAAGAAAGATCGAGCTAAACTAGAAAAAGAAAAAAAAGTTTTTGTCATTCTCGTAGTGTCCACTCACAATCACCAAGGCATTTGTGATAATGAGTGCATTGATACCAATATTATTTTTGGTATTTAAGCTTGATTGAAGATTGGATATACCGGCATACGCCGTGAATAATAATGCAAAAGCTAATGAAAGAATTAACATATTTTTGTAAATTTTATTAATTGAAAAACGGAACGACTGGTCATCAGAATTGTTGCTAAGAGGTAGGACAATGACTGGTAAAGATGTATGATAGTCGACGATCATATTGCCAACTTTGGCACCAACTGCC